CAAAACTTCCAAATGTGCTCCTTAATATTGTATTTCGAATGGTCAAGTTGTATTTAACCTCGCATTGTACATTTGCAGGGACAACTAAGATTAAAAACCTTGATGAGAATATTGGTGCCTTGAGAGTGAAGCTCACAGAAGATGATTTAAAAGAGATATCTAATGCAGTGCCCATCCTCAAGATCGCGGGGCCTAGAATATATAAAAGTTTTACTCGTGTCTCGTAAATTTTTGCAAACACACCACTACCAAAGAATTCCAAGTGATTGGCTTTATATTTTTTTGTGATGGAATTAATGTTAATAGTGCTTTTGTCATTTTGTATTTCCTCTTGTAGTTTGTTGTAGCTTTGGTGTGTTGTCTTAATAACATTGTGGCCACTGCGGCTAAAACCTGCACATGTTTGGATGTGTTCCGATGGCGTCAAGTTTGGGATATTCGAGTTCTCCAAGTTTTCACAGATTGCTTATGGTTGGTCGAACAACTTCGTGGTACATCATCATGCGATTGGGCCTCACAACTGCTAATTTTGGAGATTTGATCTTTACTTAACAGTTTTGATTATGTAAATATATGTAAGGTAAGTTGGCAGGTAGTCGAGCTGGCTCATGTTTTTGCTAAAACTGTCCTTCGTGGCAGTTAACAAGTAATATTTGGTTATGTCTATAATGAAAGTTGGTTTGACTTTTAATATCAAAAATAAGATTGTGATGTTAGTGTATCTTTTGGCTAAGCATTTTCATAGTATTAGATGAATGAGATGTGAATACCAAGTTTAATGCCCAAAATGTAGCCCCGTAATTGAGAAAAATAGGGGAAATTCTCTTTTAAATTTTGTGTCACATGATATGATACTAGTAGGCTAATATAGTTAGATTACTATAGTAGGTTTGACGCCATTATATTGACTTGAATTGTGCATCTCACTTCACTGACAATTAAGTACTCTGATCATCGGTTATAGTTCAATTTCATCAAAACTTAGCAGTAGTGAAAGAGAGGGCTTTCATTTGTGTCTGTGGCGGTCTTATTGGTAGTGGTGGTGGTGGATTTTGGATCAATATTTCCTTAGTCTACAAAAATGTCATAGTTTTAACTGTTCAACTAGACTCTCCTTATAGCATTTCTTATTAACCACCCAATTCTATGCAACATGCTCTGTTTGGCTCGTGGAAGTGCTTAACTCAACCATCAAGTGACTCTCCTTATAGCCTTATTAACCACCCAATTGTATGCAACATGCTCTGTTTGGCTTTGTGCTCCGTGAGCTCGTGGAAGTGCTTAACTCAACCATCAAGTGACTCTCCTTATAGCCTTTCTTATTAACCACCCTATAAGGGGTGTTTGGGAAGTTGGGTTTGGAGGATTTTTTTGGCTAAAATAGTTAATAAAGATAAAATAGGCTAAAATAGTTAATAAGATAAAATGTCACATTCAAATTATAATTATTTAATTTTTTCTCTCACAATCATTAAATCAAATACTAAAAAAAAAATTAAAAAAAATAAAAAATCAACTATCATTTCAAACATAACTTTTTTAGACAAGTTACAATAATCAAACAACTAAAAAGCCAACTAAAATAGTTAATATATATTTTGACAATAGAATGGATGTTCATAACCCTATATATCATCACAATTAAAAAAGTAATAGCCAATAGTAGAATGTAATCACACAATAGTCTTTTATACATAAATAATAAAAAGATAAGGCATTGGAAATCAAAAATACTACCAACATGACAACAAATAGAAGGAAAATAAATAAACAAATAAAAAGAACTTCTTGTCTCCAACAACACAACAGGCACACAAGCATCACCAACCACTTTCTTTGTTTCCTCCGACTATCATTCCTGTTAAATAAATAAAATGAAAAAAAACAAGAAAGAAAACTAAGATGTAAGAAATGTGTTAAAAAATAAAAAATGAAAAACAAAATTTTTAAAGATGTATGTCAAAAATAATATCAATTATCACACGAGTGACGCACATGAGATGGGTCAATTGCTATATATCGATTATCTCACTTGAGGTAGGACATGTGTTACGATGGAACTATGTATCTAAAATATAGTACTACCGCCTTACTTTTTACATTTCGTCAATATTAATTTAAATCGTAACTAATGCATATTATAACTGGATTATCCCATTTTCTAAGCATAATTTTTGAGATAATTGAATGATTGAATCATAATCTCTCTTGAGAAACCTTTTCATTTGTCTAACTCACTAAACTAGCAAGGAACTAAATGCTTGGATTCATCATTTGGCAGATAAGAAAACAAGCTCTTTGAAAACAAGTCCACATATGAATTAGTTTAATAAAAATAAAAATAAAAAAAACTCCTAAAACTCTTGTTTTGTTTCTCACCAATTTTGGTGAAAAACAAAAGTAGTTGTATAAAAAAAAATCAAAATACTTAAACTGTCTATCTAGATACAAAGTATTGATAATAAAAAGACGTGTTTTCTCTTTCTAAACCAACTTTCTAAACCAATAATGTGTCAACAAGATGATTAGTTGATAATTAAAGAATAAATGAGAGAGCTAAAAAGTGAATCTAATTTTTGGCCCTCAATACATATGTATTCTCTTTTATTTTGGTTTATCTAAATACGATGATGAGAAATCATGATTATTTAATTTTTCTTTTCTTTTCTCACCCAAGTACTAGAAGAGAAATCATAATCACCTTTTTTTAGTTCCAATTTTCTAAATTCAATTTTTTGAAATTTGAATTTTTATTTTTCATGTTTTTAGTGAATTTGTTAAATATTTTAAGCAATTTTTTAATTTTTAGATACACTTAATATAAATACAAATAAAAAGTATAATATTTGTGAATTTTTTTAAAAAAAATTCACTAAATTCCAAATATATAAAATAAAAAAAAGGAAAAGAAAAGAAAAAGAAAATTCAATACATGCTTTTAATATTTTAAGCAATTTTTTTTTACTTTTTACATGTACCTAACCTAGATGTACCTTAAAAGTAAAATATTTGTAAAAAATTTTTTTAAAAAAATCAATAAATATACAAGAATACGAAAAAGTAAAAAAAAAATTGATTAAATTATTAAAAAAATTCCCTAAAAAAACCAAAAGAAACTCAATTTTGCAAAAAATTAAATTCAGAAAATTAAAACCAAATAGAGTGAATCTTATTATTTCTCCACTCACCTAGCTAGTTTACCAAACATACATTGTTAAGAAAAGGGAATGGCTTCCCTCCACTGGAGGGTATTGTTGGGTCCGTGGGGGTTCACCACGGGTCCCGTTTTGATAATCCGAACCGTTGAATGTGTATAATTTGTTGAGTAATATATAAATGTAAAAAATCAAGTTGATCGGATATCAAAAGCTATGTGATCAAATCAGATTTTTGTCAGCTGTTTATTTTTCACTGTCCATTTTTTTTCATACAAAACTAATTTGATCACATAACTATCGATATCCGATCAACGTGATTTTTTAAAGGCATATATTGTTCAACGAGTTTTACATATTGAATAGATTATCGTAACGGGACCCGTGGTGGACCTCCACGGGCTTAACAGTACCCTCCAGTCCGATGACTGGAGGGAAGCCATTCTCTTAAGAAAATGCACACAAACGCACACACACACACACACACACACACACACACACATATATATATATACACTATATATTTAATTATACATGGAACAAATAAACTTTATTATAGCCTATCCAGTTGAAAAGCTTTATTAAGTTAAACTAGAACGTATAGAAAAGTGATCTATAAGAAAGGAAACCTTTTATTTACAATATATTTTCTGGTAGCAACTATTACTCACCTGTAACTTGTTTTCTTTGTTAGTAAGGCCACTCATCAACGCGTACCAAACCCCAATTTTTGAGGACAGGGATGGACCTTAATCTCTATGGGATGCTAACATTGTTAGGGATGAACAAACCCCGAAGCAGAGGCATTCCTCCTTCATCCACTTGTAACTCCTTCACATGACACCCGAGAAGATATAGAATTTCGAGTTGAGGAAACCCTCCTGCAGTGCAAACATACTTATGTACTCCCCAGAAACACAAGTCAAGAATTGTCAGCTTTGGAAGCTTCTCCAATGACGGCATAGGATCTTCCTTCACGTTTGATCCAAACAAGGAGAGGTATTTGAGATTCGGTAAGAATTCATGCATCTCTGTTGGTAGCTTTCCTATTCTTCCATCTAACTTCAATTGAAGGAGGCGCTGGCAGTGATAAAGTGGTTGCAGTGTAGGCTTCCAAACAGTGTCCCTAAACTCTAGATATAATTTTTGAAGGTTTCTTAATCTACCAATAGAGTCTAGAGTGAACCCCTTGCTTTCTCCATTAAACATTACCACAAGCTCACGAAGATTGATTAAACCCCTTGATGGATTAAATTCCATCCGGTCATCAACCTCAATATAGTTTAGAGTTTGAAGGTTTGTTAGGTTTTCCACTCGGAAAGGCCACTTGAAGCATCCAATTAAATGTCTCAACTGCTTTGCATTGCATATCTCATCTAGTAACATAATTGAGGTACGAAATTCGGAACATTCCAGGGTTTGTAGGGTTTGCAAGTTACCTATGGACGGTGGAATCTTGTTCATTTTGAAGCCACTTATCCTGAAGTACCTCAAGTGAATCAATTTATCTATTGCATCAAGCAAGCTTCCATGCTCTGTTTCTTGGGAATGATTGAATATAATTTCCTCAAGATCCAACACTCACAACAATCTCAATTTTTCGTATAGAAATTGTAACTCCCCTATTTGGGCAGATTCATTTTCCGAGTTGAAGAACAAAATAGTTCGTAAATGCAAATTTGATGACTGATCAAAGGAAGCAAACCTTTTTAATCCATAGCTATGAGAAGCTAGTTTTCGATGCTTGCAGGGAGAGGGTGCGGAATAAACATTTCCATCATAGATATGAAGGAAATTTAACTCCTTCGACTTTTCAATTGCAAAATCCCGAAGAAGATCATGAACTCAGCATCTTCTAATTCTCATCCAGGTTCTTTCAGCTACTTGAATCAAATTTCTATCAATCAGCTCATTTAGATATTCTGTAACTGTCTCCTCTAAAGTTTCTCCTTCTGCTTGTTGTATGAAACCTTCTGCCACCCATAACCGTATAAGTCTCTCTACTTCAATTTCAAAATCTTCAGGGAACAACCCCAAGTAAAGAAAGCACAACTTCAAGTGATGAGGCAAATTGGTGAAACTCAAAGCCAATATTTGTGTTACATGAGCCGAGTCATGGCTTTCAAAGTCATCACCGCTTACATGCTGCCAGAAGCGGCCCTGCAACTTGGGCCACTCATCGGGATGTTTTCTTGACAATAGCCCACCCAAGACGACTATGGCCAGGGGTAAGCCCTAGCATTTTCTGACCATATCTCTTGCCAATTCCTCCAACCTTGGAGGACAACGATTTGCTTTATCATTGACCCCATCATAGTGTGGAAACATTACTATCTTACAAAATAATTCCCAACTTTCTTCTGGTTGTAGAAATGGAAGCTCATGAACATATTTTCTCCTACCAAAACTCTCGGCAACAAGTTTGATACGAGTGGTGATGATTACTCTACTTCCTTTCTTGTTGTCTGGGAGGGCTCTCCTCAAGCTTGCCCAAGCATCTGCATCCCATACATCATCAATCACCACCAGGTATCGACTTTCTTTCAACAACTCATGTAAATGACACTCCAAATCTTCTGTTTCCATCTTTTCCAACATCTCTAATTCATCTTTGCTGGTTGGCATCTTGAAAGATTTTATTGTTTTTCGAAGAAGATTCTGGATGTTGTAATCCTTGGATACAGAAACCCAACCTTTACGCTTAAATTTATCTCCAACACTGCTAGAGTTGTAAAATTTTCAAGCTAAGGTCATCTTACCCAAACCGCCCATGCCCACAATCGAAACCACACATTGATGGGGCGTTTCTTGGAGAAGTTCAGATGTCAGTAACTCAACATCCTTCGTGAAGCCCGCAACATGTTGGTCGTCTTCATAAGGTGTTGTCCTTCGTAGTTTCTTGAATCTCTCATTCATGCTACTTGATCCCTCCTCAGCAGCTTTGATATTTCTAATCTTGAAAATTTCATGATTTCGATCGATTTCATCGAGTCTATTCTTCCATTCTTGAATCTCTTTTCCTATCCCATATTTGTTTGCTTGTTTGTAGATGCACAAGTACTTTTTGAGGCAAGCTTTGAACCTTGTCCTTTTGGGAATCCCTCCTTCTTCAACTTTGAGAATAAACTTGTCAATAATATCCTCGGCTTTCTAAGCAGCATCTCTAATATCGGATACCCATTTGCATATCCTACTGTCTTGATCTTGTTTTTCTTCTGCATTTTTCAAGAAACACAACATGTATTCCAATTTGGTTCTCAGATAGTTAACTTCATCTCTCACTCCTTGCAAAAAATTTACTTGATCAATGAGAAGACCACCAAGTCTCCGCACTACGGAAGAGACAACAGCATCAACCATTCTTGGCAATTATGTTCTTTTGTACACTCTGTATACGTATTGAATTTGGGTGGTTTGATCTCAAGAAGGTGGAAAATGTAAGGGCTTAATTACTTCTGAAAAATCCTAAGTGATTCGTGATTAGATCAAGATTAAAATATTCCAAATCCCAATTATCTAGAACACACAGTCTAAATCAACAAGCACTTACGAAACTGATTTAGATTGTTTGTTTTTTGGAATAAACAATAAATTGACACAAACGATTTTTACGTGGAAAAAACCACATTGTAATAAAAAAACCACGGGCGAAACACCACTAATCAATCCACTACTGAAGAAGAAAGATTACAAAGATAATACACAAATTACCCAACTCAGTCAATTTGTCTTCGAATCTTCTGTAACTCTTTCACCACGCCTTCGTCTCGGAACTGATCAATCCTGAAGTTGAATCCATAACTTCACTTGTCGAATTAACGACTACGTACAGAATCAAACGCCTTTTGAAACTCTACGCTTGAATCTCCGAAATCCACCGAAGAGAACTCTCTTGAAAATAAAGTAACAAACTCCTTGATGTATGAATCTCAAATCATAAGTTTAGAACTCTCTCAAAAATATCAAGGAAAACTCAAAAAACCTCAGAAGAAAACTTCAAACAAAACCCTAGGTCTCTTGAATAAGATCTAGAAAAGGTAAAACCTAAAAATAACCTAAACAGGTATAAATAGGCAACCTGAGTCCGCGATCTCCGCTCGAGCGCCCAACAGCCCGCTCGAGCGACTTTAGCAAAATATGCGTGTGATAAAACTGATTTCCGCTCGAGCGCTTGAGAACCCACTCGAGCGTGAAATCACACACTCCAGTATTTTTACAGACCTGACAAAATACTGAGAGAACCCAATCTCCGCTTGAGCGCCAATGGTCCTGCTCGAGCGGGAAAGACAAAAACATAGAAAAAATTATAACTTTTTCAACACAAAGTTTTGTACCCGGATTTGACAATAAAGGGACCTAACAATCTCCCCCTTTGTCAATTCCTGGACAAAACCTTTCTAAACAATTGTCCTTAAACACACGCACTAGACAAGATTAATAACAAAGAAAGAAAAAAAAAAACTCGAAACAACTCTATTATCAAACAATCTTGCCATGTGATCAATCCATCCATCCAACTTCATCCAACATTCACCTGTGAAATAGCTAGCAACATACCAGAAAAACAAAACTTGTGGAATTGTATAAGAATATATCAAAACATACATAGAAAGATAACCATGATACAATATCCATAATGACCACAATAATATCCAAACAAATCAGACTTAACCACCAACTACAATATTCAAAATATCCAAATATCAACAAAGTATCCAACATATCCAAATATGAACAAAACATCCAAATATCAAAATATGTATGTACCACAAATGTCCAAAAAATGGACATAGGGTTTTGTTTGAAGTTTTCTTCTGAGGTTTTTTGAGTTTTCCTTGATATTTTTGAGAGAGTTCTAAACTTATGATTTGAGATTCATACATCAAGGAGTTTGTTACTTTATTTTCAAGAGAGTTCTCTTCGGTGGATTCTGGAGATTCAAGTGTAGAGTTTCAAAAGGCGTTTGATTCTGTACGTAGTCGTTAATTCGACAAGTGAAGTTGTGGATTCAACTTCAGGATTGATCAGTTCTGAGACGAAGGCGGGGTGAAAGAGTTACAGAAGATTCGAAGACAAATTGACTGAGTTGGGTAATTTTTGTATTATCTTTGTAATCTTTCTTTCTTCAGTAGTGGATTGATTAGTGGCGTTTCGCCCATGGTTTTTTTATTACAATTGAAGGTTCTTCAATTGTGGTTTTTTCCCCGTAAAAATCGTTTGTGTCGATTTATTGTTTATTCCGAAAAACAAACAAACTAAATCACTTTCGTAAGTGCTTGTTGATTTAGATTGTGTGTTTTGGATAATTGGGATTTGGAATATTTTAATCCTGATCTAATCACGAATCACTTAGGATTTTTCATTTGGTATCAGAGCAGGTCACTTTTTGTTTTTATCTAAACTATAGGAGTGTGATTTTGTGTGACTAGTGATATGGATTCTATTCGTGAAGGTAACTCGACCCATAGACCTCCTTTACTCTATGGTACTAACTATTCTTACTGGAAAGCTCGTATCAGAGCATTTTTAAAATCCATCGATGAGAAATTCTGGCACTGCGTGATCTATGGGCAGAGTGAACCTACTATCACCATTGATGGTGTTGATATTCCTAAACCCCTTGATAAATGTGACACAACTGATTACCAAAACTTGAGTTGGAACAGTAAGGCTCTCAATTCCCTGTTTTGCTCTATCACACCTGAAGAGTTTCGTCGTATCTGCACGTGTGAGGTAGCAAAAGAGGCTTGGGACATTCTTGAAACGATTCACGAAGGTACTACTTCTGTCAAAAGGTCAAAACTTCAACGTCTCACCTCCGCCTTTGAAACCCTTTTTATGCGGGATGATGAGACATTTGATGATTTCTATGCAAAACTTAGTGATATCGTGAATTCCTGTTTCACACTCGGGGAAAAAATCCCGAAAGCTAAAGTTGTTGGAAAAATTTTGAGGTCCTTACCTCAGAGGTTCCAATCAAAAGTGACAGCCATTGAGGAGGCTCAGAATGTTGATACCCTCAAACTTGATCAGTTGGTTGGAAACTTACAGACTTATGATGCCCACCAGATTTCAAAGAAAAAACAAAAAGATAATGTGGCTTTCACTAGTGCTTATGAGACTGCAAAAACTCCGGAGACTGAATTTGATTTAGAGTCTGAGATGACGGCTATGTTTACTAAACAGTTTAAAAAATTTTTGAAGAAAAAGAAGCCTAATTTCAGAGACCCTATTTCAAAAGGCAAGAGTAATGAAAAACCCAAAACATTTCCACCAAAACTTGCTCCAAAAACTGAAAAGAAGATTGTAAAGGGGCAAGGGGTCAAGTGCTATGAATGTCAAGGGTATGGTCATATTGCCCTTGAATGCACTTCGAAAAAGATTCGAAAGAAAGTCTACACTGTGACCTGGGATGATGAAAGTGGGTCGGAGCAAGAACCCGAAGAACCTGAATCCGGTGAAGACGGGGATAGTGCTTTCATGGCATTTTGGTCCACTTTCACTCAACCTCTTCCAAAGCCAGCAGAATTAGCTCGTGGTCAGAACCTGCATCATGCTCCCACCTTTGATGGGAGTAACTACCTGTATTGGAAGATCAGAATGAGGGCGTTTCTGAGAGCTTTTGACCTAGAAGGCTGGTAAGCCATTGAAGAAGATACAGAAAGTGCTGACAATTTGAGCAATCAGAGAGCCCTGATCACTATTCGTGGAGCAATTTCTGCTGAAGAACAGTAACGGGTTGTTCATTGCACAAAGGCTAAAGAGGCATGGGAAATTTTGAGCCAATTCCATGAAAGAGGAAATTCACCTTCACCACCATGCAGCAACTTTTCTGTCTTAGTTGCTAGATTGGATGAGGTCAAGGAGAATGAAGAGCAAAAAGAGGATGATGAAACATTTAAAGACAGTGATGAGATCAATGGCGATGAACTACAACAAGCTTACGAAAAGCTGTACGAGGAATCTCTGAATTTGTCCAAAATCAACGACGAACTCTCTCTCAAGCTCAAAACATGTGAGAGTGAGAATGTCAGGCTGAAAGGAGAACTTGTAGCAGCAAAGCAGAATCTCATCAAGATCTCGAGTGACAGGCAAGACTTATGTGGAAAACTTCTATCCTGCGAAACTGAAAGGAATAAACTTCTAAAGGTGTATTCCACATATGAAGAAAAGCTTGAAAGTCTTGAGATGTCACAAGCTACATTAGAAGAGATAGTCTATCAAAAAGATGAAGAACTCCGTGTTGCTAGAGCCACTATTGCCATGTGGAACAAAGGTTCCAAATCTTTAGAAGACATCCTCGGGTCTCAACAAATGGGTTGTGACAAAAGCGGGCTAGGCTATGGTGCGACAGCTCACAAGGGACAGGCCTCTACTTCACATGACATGAAGACTCAAGCAAAGGGAAAATTGAAGGTAGACCAGGCTGATCTCTCTCTTCATCTACCTAAAGTTGGTAAGATCAACAAAAAGGAGGTAAAACCTATTTTTATTTGTCAGCACTGTGGTAGGTATGGTCACATTCGTCCTTATTGCTTTGAATTGTTTGGTAAGGAGTCTCAAAAGGGTAGAAATTCGAGTACTTTTTGGGCTAGGAGACAACCTTATATGTCTAGGTGGAATACCAAGGAGGAATTGTTACTTTTGGAGATGGCGGCACGTCTAGAGTCATTGGTAAGGGCTCTATAAGTGTTGCTGGTCTTCCCAAGCTCGAAAATGCTCTTCTTGTTGATGGTCTTAAAGCAAATCTTTTGAGCATTAGTCAAATGTGTGATTTCCATCATGAAGTATTGTTTTCAAAAAATCAATGTGAAATTTTGGATAAAAAGGGAAATACTGTCATGCATGGGGTTCGCACATCTGACAACTGCTATGTGATTGTTACTACTAATGATCTCACTTGTCACTCTGCCATCATAAGTAACATTGATTTGTGGCATCAAAGATTAGGTCACATGAATTTCAAAGACCTAACTAAGATACCCAACAAAGAGCTTGTGAGAGGAGTACCTAAACTGGGTAAGAATTTGAGCCATGTGTGTGGACCATGTCAACTTGGAAAGCAAACCCGTGCCCCTCATAAAAAGGTGAACAACTTTACAACCAAACGTCCTCTTGAATTGGTTCACGTGGATTTAATGGGTCCTACTTGCACTGAAAGCATCAGAGGTAAAAGATACATTTTTTTTAACTGTTGATGATTTTACTCAATTTTCGTGGGTAAATTTTTTAAGGGAAAAATCTGATACGTTTGATGCTTTCCAGGCCTTAGTCTTTAAAATCCAAAATGAACAGGGTGTTTCCATTGGGCGTATCATAAGAATCCGAACTGATCATGGTCGTGAGTTTGAAAATAGTTC